AGGAGCAAACAGGGAGGCAACTATATCCTAATAGGTTGAACTAGTAAAAATATGCTTTATTGTATTTCTGCTAGGCAGGCTGCAAACTTAGGTTAGTGTAAATTCAATCCTCAAGAAAGGATGAATAGCAGCTCAGAATGACAAATGGAATAGAATTATTTCAACTCATCACTCAGTCCCTCCATCTACATAGTATTCCTCCTCCCATAATGCTTGGGCAAACATAATTTGCCACTAGAGGGATGAATCACAAGACCATATCTGCCATTGATCATTACACTGCAGAGATAGGACAGGCAAGCTGCCACTGATATCTGAGCAAAACTGCAGTAAATAATCTGTGTCTTTCCCCCTCCAACCCAGTTTACTGTATGTTTGATTTATACTGAAATGCTAACAGCCAGAACTTAAAGATATTTTGGTCTCCTTTACCCTTATAAGGACTGCTGTACCATCTCTCTCACTCATACATAATGTGCATTACTCATACTAGCAGACACAATTTGTAATCCTGAATTTTGTATGTAACTGTCCCTACTCAAGAATGATTCAAGCAGCAGAGTTCATAAGTTTAGGTGCAAGTTTAAGAAGGGTTGGTAGCCTCCCTCCCATAGAAAGAACATTGATGGAAAGATGTTAGTAGATAAAGTATGTTGTTGGAGAGAAAGTTGAGTGAGGAGATGAATTAACAAAGCCTTATTCCTCCTCTCTTCTTATACTACTCAGCAGAACAGCATGTTGGACTCTGATGGGCAATTTCCAATTTAGCCAAATCCAGTCATTATTATAATTTTACTCCCTGTTTGGAAGGGTGATGTTCAGACTTGTTTTCTTCCAATCCCCAGAACATTATCTCTGGAATGTGTTTTAGGCAAGTCTCATTTTTCATGTCCTCCTAGCCGGTGTGTGCCCATCTTTGATGCAGTAGTGCTGATCTGAAATAGGATTCTTCCTGGCCAGTCTGGCATGACTCCTTTCATTAGTCATGTTTGCATATAAACTGATCATTCTAGCATGACTTTTTAATCAATGAGATCATTAGTTAGGAAGTAAACAATCACTGAACATTTTCACAAAGGTTACTTTCTGCTCAAACATGGAGGCTCTCTCAGGTTCGGTCAAGCTCTCTGTGTTCCTCCTATAGTTTATGATAGTTCCATGTACCCAGCAATGCATCTCATGTATTAATATTGCTCCATAACAAGGGTGAACTCTCTGCTCTCCAAGTTTCTAAATGGACTTAAACTGGACAATTTGGAGCAGAATTTCCTCGTTAATAACTGAAAATGATGTTCAATCTTACAGTTCACATGTTCAGAAGTAGAGTCTTTTATATACTAGATAAACTTCAAGTAAAATATAAATGCCTTTGTTTAAAAATTACTTTCTACTGTTATTTTGTGATTGTAATAATTCTGTCAGATACACATTCTTGCCTCATAAACTATTTGTGATCCTAGCTTTTACCACCATGGTTAGTCTGTTTAGCTGAAAATAGATTTAAAAGAAGATGCATAATCAAGGGTGTAATGTACTTTGGTCTTCAGGTAGTGCTTCTGAGCTCCTGAGTCCAAAGTGATCTGCCCTGTCCTAAGTGACTTGACATAACATATATTGAATCCAAGCAAATATAATACACTAAGTGAAACTAGTCAACTCTGCTGCTGCAGAGTTGTACCATGCATGGTTCTGCCTTGTGTATCATCAGCAAAAGTGACATCTAATATTGATTGGTTGGTTTTTGTGCTGGAAACAATTCATTTCTCATACTCTTGTTCCTACTTAAGGTGATCAGTAAGGAAAAAAAATCCCTGTTATTATTGATTACTGACAAGTTAATTTAACATAAAAATATGCAAGTAGGATAAATCTAGGGCAAACTGTCAATAAAACTGAAGCTTTCTTACTTGTGAAGGATAGGTTTCTAATTAATCAACTTCAGTTTCTTATTTACATTTTGGATAAGTACTGGCTTTATGAAAATAAAACTGTATTCAATTTTTTTTAAATTCTTCCTTCAGCTCTGATTAATCTGTTGAAGTTCCTCATGTCTAATGAAACTGTTTTGCTGGCAAAACACAACATCTTTACCTTGGCTCTGATGGTGAGTAGCTATGCAGAGATTCAGCCCCACTGAGGATAAAGAACACTAGATTTTAATTTTATTTTATTTTTAACATCTGTATGAAGCTGCTGGGAAAGGTCATCTGCTGGCACTGAGTGAAGTAGTATCAGTATGTCAATGATATCCTGCTATGCTGCCATAGGCTACATGGAAGGTGTGGGAGAAATACTGACTGGCTGTGCGGAGGCTTCCAGAGCCTAGATGGAGAGAAATGGGCTCAGACTCAAACCAGTGAAGGCAGAGTGGGTGTTGATTCAGTAGCCAACTGGCTCTGGAGTTATATCAACCCACTTGATGGGCTTATGCTCTGCCCTCAAAGACCAGACTCACAATCTGGGGGTCCTCCTGGATACATGGCTCCTGCCAACCTTTGTCCAGTGCAGCTAGTGTAATGTTTTACCTAGAACAGGACCCTCTGGAGAAGGTTATTTACACCCTTATCTCCTTGTACCTGAATTATTGCAATTCACTCTACATGGGGCTGCCCTTGAAGACCACCTGAAAATTTCAAATGGTGCAAAATGCAATGGCCTATATGGTTACTGGGCAATCACAGTATATTGTCATGTAACACCACTGCTGAGGGAGCCGTATTTGTTTCCAAGTGTTCTCAGGGAGGTTTATTACCTATAAAGCTGTCTAAGGCTTGGAGCTTGGGTATCCTAGAGACCACCTAATCCCAAATAAATTCTCACCGCGTGAATAGGGAGGGCCTGCTAGAGGTCCCCTGCTATCAGGAAGTATGGCAGGATGGGGCCCAAAGGTGGGTGTTCTCAGTGGCTGTTGCTGTCCTGTGGAACAGCTGTTTTGCCAATTGTCAAAGTAGTGATCAGGTGCCCAGGCAATTGGTTCTTTTAGTTCTTTTAGATCCAGAGACAACACACCAGTAGGTAAGGAGATTTTAAGCTTTATTGTTCTCTAGCAAACAGATTTAAACAGGAATACAAGAGCATAAGATAGAATTAAACAGAAATGCATAAGCATAGTATGCATGACTATACCAAGCAAGATGATAAACTTCTTCCCCTACTGTCAGGAGCTACCATAAGGTGACAACAGAGAGACCCCAGGATGGTTTAGATAATACAGCACCTAGTCCCAAGACCTGTGTCCATGCTCCAAATTCCAGGGGCAATGCCAGGCTTTTTATTAAAGTCTGGCACTGCAATCCCATGACTCTGTTTTGGAGTCTGGGGCTCTAAACATGACCTTGACCAGATGTTATACCTGCTCATCAAAAAATTCCAGAGCCTTAGAACTGTATAGACAAGCTAGTGCTTAACCTAAACAATCCTGAGTAATTCTAAGTTAAAGTGAAAAACAAGCCAGCTAAACATTATTATGATTCAAAGTGAGCTTTCTTAACATGTGCAGGAGAAATCAAACTATGTCACCTAAACTCCTTGAAATAACAATGATCTTCTGCATTGCCACTACACAGCTTATCCCTGAAGCAAGAATGGCTCCCACTCTTATGGCTTATCCGAAAATAGCTAAAACCTGGATTTCTAGAGGGCCTTTGTTGATTAGCAGCTAGAGGAAGAACCATGGCATTCTTGTTTATTATTGCTTACAGTTTTATTTTTATTATATTGTTTTTTGTAATGTATTTGACTTTGTATACTGCATAGAGGCTCTGGAGTGAGGTGGTTAATAAATCACATATGTACATCCATACAAACAAATCCTGGGCAAAACCAGGTTAAGAATTTCCTTTCCTTTCCTTTCCTTTCCTTTCCTTTCCTTTCCTTTCCTTTCCTTTCCTTATATTCTCTATTATAATATTTACATGTATCCCATGTAGATGGTTTAAGGACAATGAATAATAACAATAATAATAACAACAACAATAATTTATTAAATTTATATGCCACCTGACTCCCAGTGACTCTGGGCAGTTTACAATTGTTAAAACATTTAAAAACAAAGAACAATACAAAAACCACAAAAACAGCACAAGGCAAAAGAACAACAATGGCAAGAATACATAAATAATAAAATAAATAATAAAAATAAACCCAGACACAAACAGAAAGGAAGAAAGGGGCATCAGTCATCCTCGCCAAAGGCCTGGAGACAGGATTGGATCCATGGTGGGAATGTTCCCTTTAGGTACTTTTTGGAACATCTTTTATTTGGATAAATTATCCTGTAGAAATGTAGAAGAAGAAGAAATGTTTTTAATGTGCATTGAACTGAGTACCATATTATGAAGAGGTGTAGTTATGTGTCATAATTGGAACTTGTAAAAAGAAGAAAAGTTCCAGTGCATCTTCATCTTACAATAGGAGTGATCTTCGTGGCTTTAGGCAGATTGGAAACAAAACTTTGGAGCTCTGTTTGGGGCTTGGAAATGAGGATGGAGCTTCCTTGCAGTGATTTTTCTTTAAAATGTTGATTGCTAGCCTGAAAATCCAAATGTTCCATAGCTGTATAGCCAAGGAGGTACATTTTGGATAGCAGTAAATTGGGGGGTGTCATTTTACTTTTTCTTTTCCTCGAAATATTTCTATTTATTGCTGACAGTGGAATTTTTTATTTTTAATTTCACAGCAGATATCCTCAAGCTTCAAACCTTCCTCTTTTAAGATGCTTACTAGGGTTAAAATGGTGAAAAATAGCCACTAATATACAGCAATTCTGCACTGAGGGAGTTTCCAAAGCTTAGAGTCCATGTGTAGTCATGGACATTGAGAGAAAATTAGAGAGTTGAATAAACTTATTCTCTTCCTTTCCATTTGTTTCCCACACAGTTGACAATATGGGTACAACTGCTCTTAAAATATTTTTCTTAACATTTTGAAATTTCTTAAATTTTGGCTTTTGATTCATACTTTTACATATTTAAGTGTCCCTCAAGAGACCCTTGAGTATGTAGAAACAGCTCGTCTGATTTTTTTTTTTAGTGACTTCATTTTACTTCTAAGCTGGTACACACTCAACCATGTAAATTTGCCTTTTTGGTGAATGATATTTGCTCTCACTGTTGTCCTGGGTGACTGTAGTTTTCACTCTCTTAATAACATTCAGGTACTGCTGAATTTGTCAGGGAAAGAAAGAAGATGAATTTTGAACAAACACTTTTTATGTACAAAAGCTAAGTGATAGCTTTGGTACTTTTAAAGCTTGGATATGTTGTTTTTCATATGTTAGTATTTTTATTTAATAACCTTCTACTTTGCCCAGAGAATTCCTGTTACTGTTTGGATTAAAAATAATAAAGTTAATATATTTTTATTCAGTAATGCCTATAATCTTTTTTTTAAGGTGATAAACCTGTTTAATATGTTCATCACTTATGGAGATACCTTTCTTCCAACTCCTAGCAGCTACGATGAGCTTTATTATGAAATCATCAGGATGCACCAGAGTTTTGATAACCTATATTCCATGGGTAAGTAGCGTTAGGTGTCTTGACTATATGTTAATGTAACATTTGTACAAGTGTGGCTAAGAGCAAATAATAATGTATGACTGCTGTTCAATACATGTGTTTGTGATATAATTTTAATTAGCCTTTAATATATGAGTGTGAAATAAGCCTTATTTGAAAGGATGTTCCAGGCTAAAGAGATGTTGAAAAATGGCTCTTTCTTAAGCTTATATGAATAATAATAAATAATACAGTAATATATAAATAATATAGTTAAGGGATCAGATGATCGCCTGATACACCAGTATGCCTGCTGTATGTGAAGATGTGCTTGCTGCTGTTTCCTGGCATATAATATTTAAATAGTAGCAAGAACACACTATGTTCATTTAGAGTGAGCCAGCCTGGCATGTGCAGAGCACTCCCAATTGGGAAACTGTGCCTTAGTCTCAGATCAGAGAGCAAGCAAAGCTCCCAGAACTGTTCAGCTGCAGGGAAACATCACTATAAACACGAAGTGAAAACAGAAAGTGTGCTTTCATCTTGTTCTGATGAAAGCATGGCAAGAAATCTACTCCAAAAGATGTAGAGCATGTCATGGAACCATGTCAGTGCTTCAAAGAATGCAGTCAGAAAACAGGTTGTATACATTTTGAAAGGCATAAAAATAATGCTATCTGTAATAATGTTTTTGGGTGAGGGAGTGGAGGTGTAGAGTAATGCATTTGCTATTGCTATAGGTGAGTGGTGGACAATTTTTCTATAATTGGAGAACTGGATTACTTTATGGAGGGCCAAAGCTATAAATGGGTGATAAATCCATTTCTCTTTCTCTTCTTTATAACCTGTAAAATTCTGTACAATCCCATCCCGCACTCACAAGTCATGCACCACATCCATCCATCCTCCATTTACATATGCTCTCGTACGTTCACGCGCATTTATACATACCCACTTCTGCCTAAGATAATTCCTAAAAGGCAGAATTTCTCAGTGGGAAGGGAAGGGAAGGGAAGGGAAGGGAAGGGAAGGATGGTTGAGTTTTAGCTTCAGGTATACTCCTGATTCCTTATTGTATTTTCAGGTACCAATCCTCCTCTCTGTATTGTTACTTCCACTACTGCCTTGGTACTTCCACTGTGCTTTCTTCAATTCATGGATAATTCTAAGTCAGCTTAGAAGTAGTTGTATTGGGATGTTGAACAGTATGGCAACAGTACAGTGAAGTTAAGGTTTCTGTGGTTTTGGAGCCCAGCTTCCTATTTCATGGCTTTCAAGGAAACTACGTGCCAGTTTAAAGAAGAAATATGGTTCCTCTAAGATTAATTATTAAGGAGATAATAGTTTAAAAATTAGTTTAATAATGTATATTTTCAGCAAGCTAGTCTCCTGCGTGTAGCATAGAAATCATGCATTGTGTTTATGTATCTGGGCAGATCTGGAAAGGAATGAAATTTGTATATTTCCTAAGTGTTTTTCTAAGAATGTATTTATTCATATTGAGGATGGACAATACACAAAATGCACATGGTCCCTAAGCATTACATTTTTTTACTGCTCCTGAATTTCCCAAGACTCTGCTGCTGAAATTTGCCAGCAAAGCTATTAAACACAACAGCGCAATTTTCTGCTGTGTTTGAGCAAGAAACTGAAGAAAATATGTATATTAAGACTTCAGTAGCCTTAACGAGCCTATTGCTGTTACTTTTAAATGCCAGTGCTCTCCCCATCCAATTTCCCAGAAAGTATAAAACAGATTGAACATCCTGTCCCCATCTCCTCCAATAATAACATGATATCATACTGCCCTGTCCCTGTAAATGCTTAGTCAGTTAAAAAAAAAAAAAAAGGCAGGGGAAAAAGGAAATGCAGTCCCAAGCCACACAAAGGTTGGAAATAGTTGAGCTGCAGTCAAATAGGTATCACAGAATATTTTTCTTTCTTTCTTTCAGTTCTGAGGCTTTCTAGTAATGCTGGCCAGTGGAAGGAGCCAGCCAGCAAGGTGACCCATGCATTGGTCAACATACGGTAAGAAAGAAAAAGAAATGAACTACAGATTTTCTATTAACTCTATGCTCTTGCATATTGTTCGCTGCCCAGAGTCACTTGGTTGAGATGGGCGGCTGTAGAAATTAAAACAAATACATTTTCAGAAAACTTTTTTTTTGTTATAACAAGTCACAGTTTTAGATTTCTCAACTAAAGTTGTGGTAGATGAAAGATAACATTGTAAGCATGTAATATTATGTTTATTTTCTGTATTTTTAAATGTGAAGACTTTAAATGGCTACATGTTTTTCCTTATCACAGAGTATCTTGACCAGTAGTTTGAGAGTTGAGTAGATTTTTTTTAAACAGTAACCTGTATTGCCAATTTGCTTAAAAGTGTTCCTATTTGAAACATAATAATCCATGTGACTTTTTCATATGGGTCATGTGTTACTGTGTTATACTGTAAAGATACCCTGGTACTTTCCAGATGGTGATGCTTAGCAAAGTATTTGTAGGTGGCCTTTGAGTGATCTAGCTGCTTTTTAAGGAGGTGCTGGGTCTTAAACATTTATCTTTCCAGGAAGGAAGGACAAACAACACCTCAGAAACAATGCATTTGTTGCTGTGTTAACCAGCAAGACAATTGGCTAGGACTTTTTCCTGTGACAGAGTTTGCTTATGAATGAATTCAGCTGTCAGTCTTTTAGGCCAACAGTGGCTAATACTGTCTCTTTTCTCACTTTGCCTGTCTCAGTTCTTCCACATTGGAGATCACATCAAATCAAATAAATATTTATTATGGTCATAGACCAGTATACACATTGGAAAGATACATTTATGGCTCAACACCTCTTTAAAGAGCAGCTAGATCACTCCAAATCCACTCACAAGTGCTCTGCTAACCATCATAATCTGGAAGCCTCCCTCCTCCCCCAGGGAATCACATCTGGCTTTCTTCCGTTTACACTATCATTTTTATATTTATTTAGTGTGTTTATATACCGTGTGCTCCCAGCCAAGTTGAATGCCAAGTTTATTTGACCGTTCCCCACAATAACACAAGCAGCTTTTTGATTGCAGCTTTTGGCCATGCTAAAAATACACTTGGTTTTCCACTGTTTCATTCCCCTTAACACATCTTGTCTCTGCCACCATTTCTCATCCTGAGAGATGGCATGGAAAAACTTGAGATAAAATGCATTCTGGACTCCGTATAGGAGGACTGGGCTTGAAAAGCTGATTAATTGGAAAGGACTGTCTGGATGCTAAATGTTCCTAAGAGGCAGTGTATGATATGCATGGAAGCTTTCCACCTTCACGATTTCCAGTTACAATACCTTTGCAATCTGAAGCCAACTGGCCACACAGTAACATTTCTACAGCTGCCAGTGATTCTGACCCTGGGAAGATGGGGGATTTAGTGGCGTGGGGAGAGTAGGACAGATAGATGACCAAGGAGAGAGTAGCAGAGGTAGACTGAAAGAAACTGCACCATCAAGCATCTAGGTAGAGGGGAGGGGAAGTGTGCCAACAATTCTTGTTGCTCAGACTTTGGAGGAAAAGGAACCAGTCTCCAGAGAGATGAAAAGAGTGGGGAAAAATATCTCCCCTACCTGCCCTTTGGGACCAGAGAAAGGGGAGGTGGATTTTTATTCCTTCCAGACACATAGAGGGGAAGTGGGTGGAGAATTGAGAGGAGAGGATTAGAGTTAGAGTTTCTTAGAGCAGAAATACTGGTTATGTCAACAACTACTAATTGCTTAGCTTAGTCTAGCTCCAAGGATGAAAAGCACAAGGCTAAGTATTACAGTAGTTAAGTCATGGAAAAGGCATAAGAAAGAAACACAATAATTAACTGTTGTGGGAGTAAGAACAGTGTTCATGTTGACAAAGGGCAATCAACTGTTTAAAGTGGATTTGTCCTTGTATACAATAAAGGGTGCTGAGTGTCTGTATAGCTTTTGCCAAATTCAAGCCAGGGAACAGAACCTTTGCATGGAAGAGTTCCCAGAATATGGAGTCAAAGCAAAGTGAAGGATGTTTACAGGAGGAATGTTCAAAAAACAGCCTAGCTGCTATTTCCTCTCTAGTTTCATTGAAGTTTATTTACAATAATTGATTATCTCTTTGGCAATGGGGAAACAGCCATTAAAGGTACATGGCAACTTATTTTTTGACAATTTAATAGTAGAGGATAGCTCTTTTAATAGTATGAAATGCTAATTGGGGCATTAGGTCAAATGGTGCTTGCATCAGTTCTTTTCGTTCTACATCGGTAGTCTAATCGCTGCCATCACACAGTAACAATTAGCTTCTTAAAATGATTTGAATGAGAAATTTATTTTCATCTGTGATTTTTGTGAAATAATAGGTTCTGGTTGTGTGTATTTCTAATGTTGCAAACAGAGAAGATAGAATATATAGTTGCTAATTGTGGGTTTTAGACTTGATTCTCAATTCATTTGAATAAGGCAGTTGCAAATGCGTTTAAATTCTGCAAGTACTCTAATTTCTAATATTAATATGTGTATAGAAATTGTATTATGGTGATGAGGTCTTCCTTAGATTTGTCCCTTCACTTTAAAAAAAAATGTGACACTGGTGAGAGTGTATTCATTCTTTGACTCTGGAATTAATTTTAAAGCAGCAAAATAGTATATTACCTGCACAGCAAAGCAGTGGTAATTTTGCTAAGTAATTTTTGTCCATACTGTATCTTCTCCTCCTAAATAATTGCTAAGTAATTTTTTATCCATATCTTCTCCCCCTTTTCCCAAAACAATTGTGACTACTCTGCAGATTCTGTGCAGACTCACAGGAATCTGTGATGTAAAAGATTTGAGGCATGTGTTTCTCTTTCCCAAATAACATGAACAGAAGCAACTTTTTCCCTTAATGCAACTGAGATCTTTTGTTCTAATACTCCTAGCTTCTGCCATTAGGGCAGAAATTTACTGTGACCTACTTTATCCTTCCTGTTGTACAAACAAAGGCATCAAAATCTCTGCCTATTTCAGTGCTCTTTAAATTATATTAGACTTACCCAACTCTCTACTTCCTCGGCTGGTTTTGCAAGACTGAGCTATAGATTCCAGATTGGTTGGCTTGCTTATTTTAGGTAGCTGTTTTTCCCCGCAGTTTTATGCTTTATTTTTAAAAACTATGTTATATATAATACAAATACATTTTCCACTGTTTTTAAAAAATCTAATTTAAATGCCATGTGGTCATTGGATATTATTTGATGTTTAATTATTATTTGAGATTCTTTTTTTAAAGAACACCAATTCTCTTTTTCTACTAATATAGAAAGTCGTTTTGGACACAAGAAAATATCTGTATATCTATAAATTTCAAATTTAATGGTAAAATTAACTGAGAGGGAACCAGAGACATGCTTAGATGGTTCCATGCCTGAGCTTTATGTATTTTAATTTTAATAATATTTAATTTTTAACACTTATTTTTTTATACTTTTATATGGTTATTTTTATATATGCATTGTTTTATTTGATTATTTTATATATGCGTTGTTTTATTGTATGCTGCCCAGAGTCACTTCCAGTGAGATGGCCAGCCATATAAATTTCATTAATAAGATAACAATAATAAGTTGGTTCTTGTTGATTATTGCTTCATAGTTATCTTATTCTTGGTTATTTTATTTTCTATTTGATACATTCTGTGTCAATGCTAATTTTCTTATATTCTTCAGTTGTTAATATTGAAAACCAAAGTGTAAAATGTTGCCATTAAAATGCAAAGTTTTCTTTTTCTTAACTTTTTTGGTGTTATTTTTCACATACTTTTTGCATCCATTTAGTTTCTTCAATATGTGCTTTAGTGCTGTTCTTAAAAATAGAAAACAAAAACCTTTAATGTATAGTCTTTACTGTATAATTTCATCTAACCAGAGATCATGTAATAAATAGGATGGTCCAACAAACACCTGCACATAGAATATGGTGATGATCAGTGAGGCCAAAGTCATATTGCAATTATAGTAAAGCCCCAGTTTAAATAATCAGTTTTATTGTGCCTGCATACTCGTGAGCACTATAATGGACTTAGTATCCAATAGGTGACACACAACCAGGCTGGCACTGCTAGCCCTCCCGTGCTGCAGTAACAGAACTGAACATGCCTAAATGAAAATTTTAACAGGCTAATGAAGCAATAAGAGCTTATTCAGCCTGCCCTGTTTTTGAGCTATGTTGAATTGTTTTTCTCAGTTGCTGAAAATAGAAGGTGCACTTTTCAAGAGGTGGTGTGTGTAATCCCAACCCAGGATTTTTAAATTATTCTTTGTTGAATAAGCTGTAGCGATCTACTGTGCCATAAATATAAGGTTAATGCATCACACTAAACAAACCACTTTATGGCCTGGCACTGTGAATGAACCAGAACATGGATAAATAGGTATTTTCACAAAAGTTTCCTAGCTTGCAGACAAGAAATTTAATATACTTCATTTGTCAGAAAAAAGTCAAAATCCTTTCTAGTGAAATTCACATTTTCCTGCATCTCATTTTCTTGTCTAAAAGATAATGAGAGTTTCTGTAACTCAGTTCCTAAGCCTCAGAAGGTGAAAGAGAAATGTATTCTTTCTGTAGCCCTGATTAGAGAGCAGAAGGAACAGTTAATCTCACTCCCTTATTTAGCTGCACAAGTTACATACACTTATTTCTATTAGTCAAGTCCAAAATTTTCATTTGAGTCAGAGGTTATGAAATAGAACAGGACTTAAATGTTGGTTCCCAAACAGGTTTCCCCCCCGCTTACTTGAATTCTGAAAGGAAAGACAGAAAAGTGAATAGCTGATACATCTGAAGGCCTAATCAAGGCAATATATTAAAGTCAAGCCTCTCTTGGGTCAAATTTGGCTCCTGGTAACTTAATGGATATGTTTGTGTAGATACTATTGGCTTGGTACTGTCCTTCCAGGATGTTTTATCACTATACAATCTAGCCTACAGGCCTGGGATTTCCTGGTTGTTTCCTCTCCAAATACCTATGCATCTCATATGTTGTTTTAA